AAATTGCCCACCCGGGGAGGGAAGATTCACGGGCAGACAGAAACAAGGGAGAGACGAATAAAAGGGAGCAGTGAATGTACGAATTAACAACCTGTAAATAAGAAAACAAATAAACACAAAAATCATCAGGTTGTCATCCCTGTGAAAAAGCTGAGAAAATGGCCTTGGGCGAAGGTCATATTAACCCTTGGGTTTCTGAGGAATATCTAAGGGCCAACAAAACCCCTCTATGTAATTATAGCACCCCTTTTTTCATTGTCAATGGATCAATTGGCGACAGGTTTTGTCCAAAGGAACCCTATGGTTAAGCGCTTAGTAGTGGCCTAATTTCCATATTGTATTGAGGTGTTGAGGACAGCATGCTGATGGGTTTGATTGAAGGGTGCGATTCTGTGGAACCGGGGTCGCCGGTGTGCGAACAGGTGCTAACGTTTCCTGTACGCTGCTGACAGGGTGGCAGCCTGTTCCTACCAACCTGAGTTGGGGATACTCAGAGAACAGCTTTCAAACTGAAGTCGAATAACTCTGCTGTTACCAAGGAGCCCGTGAACGCCTTCGAAGGTTTATGCTCCGTCCTTACGCTCCTCTCATGAGCCATACTACAACTTAGAAGTTTGCCAAACAAGAACGTCAGTCTCATAAATTTACTAACCAAGAAGTCCATCCTCATGATTTTTCCTGTATGTTGTTACCAAGTTATTGAAGGGATCGAACCAATGAGTCTACAGTATTCCACAGCCGCAGCATCTCAAGCAACCCTTGTGGGAAGCATTCAAATGCAGCTTTATGAGCCTACGAATCTACAAGAAAGAGGATGTTGCCAGCTTGAAAAATGGCTTAGTTTGGGCACAATAAGGGGTCACAGATTGACTTTGCTGGATGTCACACCCATTAGCGGCCGTGCTTTTGAGGCGTTTACCATTCACAATGGGACAAATCTTGTATTAAAAATTTGAGTAGCTGATCTTTCCAGGACCTGTGGCGATGAAGGAAAGCAATTTTAGACAGAAGCGACCATGTAACCAATCCATAACGCAGTTGCACGCGACCGAGATCCCCTCCAAGTACCCCTACCTCGTCATAATCTCGTACAGCAGCGATTTTGATTTTGAAGTCCTAACAATAGATGTACCATTATGTACCTAAATTTCTGTTCTTGCCCTCAAAAAGTTACATCAAAATTGACGTGAACTACGCCTTTTAGATGGAATCGGAACACGAGCAGCGCAGAGCATCGAGTACAGCATCGACAGAAGAAAACTGGCGACTGAGGAGACTCGAGCCCTCATCGTATCACTGTATAGCTGGCTATCTTGGATTCCGCAATTTTAGCTTACAATCAATCGAACTCACTAAAGCTGCCGTTTTTTCGGGACCGATTGATTTCCACTGACTGAGAGGTATCGATCGGAAAGTGACAGCGTCATTAAAAGTCGCAGAAAAGGATTCGACTAGAAATTTTTATTCCTTATCAGAGAGCTCCACCAAACCAAATGCTCTTTATTTGGTGATAACGTCAGTGTAAAGAACAAAGAAGCTTCTGCAGAGTTCCTATCAGAGTTCCTTCTGCAGGGTTCGAAGCTGAAATTGAGAGAATTGCAGAAGAATGAATTCAGATGGCTGAAGTAATCATTCGCTAGTGCTAGAAAAGCTAGAAGGAGCAATAAAAGTCTGCTTACGATCAAGAGCTATGCGAATGCTACCCTAGGCAACGAAATCAACAAAAAGTGTTCATCACTAATTAATTGGAAAGTTTATGGGACCCAGACAACGCAACTGTGTACTGCATGCGAATTTTGGATCTCCTACAGCTGTCTCTTGAGAATTCTGAGAGAAGAGGACAGTCAGTCAATGAAACAATTTAGGTTTGGTCACTTATCTGACATCGTAGCCCAATAACAGAGCAAAAGCGAATTTATTCGTACCTTTTTTTTTACTTTTTTGAATTTCTTTATCTATTAGGTTGATGCATAATTATTGCGGATTTTTTTCACCAAATTTTACTTGAAGAATTGATAGAAATATCTATCAAAGACATGTTCAAATAATTGCTCCGGAACATATCCAACACCTACGTCAAGCACTGCTTGCATTGCAAGCATTTGCTAGGCGGTCAGATTCCCAGGCGAAGAATTTTCGATTCTTGGAGGCGATCACGCCTTGACGTTGGCCGACAAGCCATCCTCTTCGTCGATAGTTGTGTTCGTTAACCAATTTTTCAGAGGGCGATTGACGTGATAATCCATAGGAGTAACTGTATTGGATAGGGCGACCGTAGAAGCAGATTCCATTCCTTATTCGGCTTTGGCTGACTGTTCCATCGCCGAGAAGTTCGTTGAGATCACGTTATGAATGCGCCGCCTCCCAACATTTTTCGAAGTTACAGAGCATAATGTGGCGTATATAAGGATGGCTTCCTAGACATATTTCTGTTAAGGAAAGCGAGAAGACTATTTCTACGAAAATCCCGGATTTAAAAGTTTAATTTTATCGAGAGAAAAGAAGCCGCGAAAAAAAAAACAATAATTATGCATCAACCTAATAATTTTTTGGAATCCTATCGGAGAAATTCAAGATTTATCCGTTTAACGCAAAACCTTCACCAGAAAAACTCGCGAGTACCCACGAAAGTATGGTAGAGCTATTGTGAGCTCGTCTATGACTCGATAGGGGCTGAATCTTAAGATGAACTCATAGTTACTTTTCATAGTACATTTTTTACTGAATGAGGGAGGATTTTCGTGATGGGAAGCGATTTACAAAGAGCATCATCTGACGTGCTCAGCCATCATCAAAATTTACTACTGATTTGGAACAATGCAAAGATGCCGGCCCTTCCTACGCAGCGAAAAAACACGTAAATTAGAACTACCACTCTTTTGGCTTGAATTACCCTTGATTACGTTTTTTAGTAGAATGTTTTCTCCAAATACTCTCCACTTCCGCGATTTTCTTATAACATTCAAATAGTGCAATGTGTCTGTCTTCGAAGAGAANAAAAATTAAAGACTATAGTCTCAATTTTTCTGCCCTTTGCCCATTTCCTTCTGATTTTCTAGATTTCCTTATACTATTTGGGGAATTTTGTTGATCATTCTAATCCCAGCATTCCAAGTAGAAGGACTGTTTTCGAAGTCAGGCAAATCGAAGGCCAACCGCTCCGTTCTGGTATTGCACTACTAGCATACACTTCATCAAAGACTTCGTTATCGAATGTCGCGAAAATGGGGGAAATTCGGAATTTCGAGCAAACCCTTACAAGACCAGATTTAGGAATTAAAAAACGACTCGTCCTATCATACAAAAAGAAAAAAGGGAGAGAGTAAAAAAGAAAAATACTGAAGTGAGGGAAATCGGCTAAGAGAATCAAGTAGTTGTGTTCGCTAAAAAGTGATACTGACTGATAAAAATTCAAGTCAACAACGAACTGTGGGAGGTTGATAGATGGTGAGTGTGAAGGGATTAGTCATCGAGCCATCAGCTGATAAGACCGATTGACCTGGGGAAGCATTATCAGTGTGAGATGAGTGTCAATTAGCTTTGCAGGACGATTCTTCTAAAATCTGGTGCCATCAACAGTGCTTGCCCTGCTCGAGTAGGGCATTCATATAGCTGTCCTATTGGAGCTTGACTTTCCCAGACCAGTCCACACCCTCAAGCAGCCTTTTCGAAGTGTCGAAAGGATAACCAAATAAGTTTTACATGTCGTGAGGATTTCAGTAGTGTCGTACTGTAACCAGCTTGGCCAACAACTATTTTAGCTACTCGTTACATAGTATTCTCGCAAGGTGGTTTGACTGCAGTCGAATGTGATTGCATAAGAGAGTTCACATAAAGGACTTCCCAGCAGTGAAATTCCCAAAACCAGTCGATAAAACGATATCGTACAAAATCAATCGATAAAGCGGTATCGATCTCGCGTGACGATATATTTATCATAACACTCTCTTCTTATTATACAGGGCCAGCTCTGTGCATTCGCAACCACCCCAGGGGTTCAGTTGTCACGTCGGGAAGAGCGAGAGAGAGGGGAAGATTCTTCCATCACTGCATGGGAGTGATAAGGGGAGCAAAAATACGAAACAGAAGAGACTAGAGTACTAGTAAGTCACGTGTTTGCAATATATTCCTCCACTCCTAGCGCCATATAAGACCTTTCCCAGCACAATTCTATAGTTTGACACACTGTGGTGGGAGTAGGAGAGGTAGGGTACCAGCAGAGGACGCGGTAATTTTAGTTGTATGCTAAAAAACTGGTAAAACTCGAACGCCATGTTCGTTACAGTGATGCTGGGAGAAAGCGTTGTTCCTGCCAGTAGTTCACCTCAGGACTGTCTAGAGCTTTTGTTGGGTTACGTTCTGATTTTGACGCATTCCTAGAGCAGGTGACCTTACTCCCTCACTTCTATACAGAATTCTTTCTCTTTCTCTGATTACAACCAATTTGAAGAAGACCTGTGCATTGAAAGCTACCTAATCTTTCACCAAGCCCTTGTCAGAATGGGACCCGACCGAATAAAGATCCATCCGATCAGTACAAACCCCTCAGTACTATTTTCGTGGTCCGACTCCACTTAGTTTTCTACTTGTGAGCTCCGAAGGATGGAGTTCGGGTAGACACTTTATGTTTCATTTTGGGATGGCCGAAACGAGTTAAAAAGAGGACATCAATTTTGGATGAGATTAATATCATACTCCATCAAGGAGGAGATGGAATTTGATGACATTGTAAATCCCTTACCAAAATGCCACCAATCCTGTAAAGAAGGACAGAAGGACAGAATAAAAAAAACACTCACCTGGGAGGTAACTGCATGTATTTTATTCTCTTCTCTGATACTGCCACTATATTACTTCGAATACTCGATTACTTGGATATAGCGATGAGTTGATTGAAGAGATGAGAAATTTATGCTGTCACTGATGCGTGAATGATAAATGCTGACAGACGAGCTGAAAAATGAGTGAATCGTCAACGGAATCCGATCGCTGGACTCTGACTACTCGCCGATTGACTCATCACAACGACGACGGACGACGACGACAACGACAACGTCAACCGCGATGCTATCAGCCGCCAAGCCATCATGGCATTCGCATAGACACACACGAGATCGTGCGAACTGATAGCCTTTTATGGAGAACGGTTCACTCACTAATCGCCTGAATATAGGGAGAAACGTGTCTGAAGAAATGCTTTTTTCAAGATATTGATCGCTATTGAACGGAAACGATCGGTGAAAAGCAGAAAAGAGTTTACCACGACAAAATAATTTATATAAGGAGAACGAGATTGTTCAGTAAAGTTCAGTTCAGTAAAAAAGCACCGTATTCAACAAGACTGGATCGATATATTGATTGGAGATAAAGCAACAAAATACAGTTAACAAATGAAGGAGATTCATAAGTCGTGAAGTCAGTCGCAGATTCTAAACCATGTGGCAGCAGTTGGATGTAGTGAATACCATCGATTTTTTGTGACTGGTGTGACCCATACGAGGGGATGGGTGGTCACGGATGCACTTAGCTTTCTTACTTTGTTATTTAGTTAACTTACTTGTCAATGCCCTTACTTATACCGAACACAGAAACCGCTAACTTAATGCCGCGGCGGTTTACTTTCAGATCTGTTCTCCAGTTCGATACTGAGAAGGTACTTTGGCTACTGTGTCGTCAAGATAGTACCACCTGAACACTGTCTGAAATCTGCTCAGTAATGCTAACTGTAGGTTCAGAAAGGATTGCTGGTCATCTGTGAAAATCGAGGAAGGCAAAACACAAATGATCGAGTATATAGTGGGGATAGCAGGGAGGAATGTCAAAAGGCATACACCTCGACAGCTATGGAACAAATACGAAGAGGAGTATGATGGGAATACTCTTGCAAACCCCTTCGAAAAACTGTTTTCGCCTCCAGCAGAACCGCAAGGTAGCAGATAGTATTCCACCATGTTCCGATATATTTCAGAAGGCCTCATCGCAATCCACTTACCCCAGTAGACCCTCAGCACTATCCCTTCAGGCTCTACTACATTTTTTGTAGTAGTCACCTAATCTTTGTTTGGTCACAAACAACTACCGTTAAGTTCTCCACGGAAAAACTGTGTATTTGGCTTATCCAAGGAGTCATGTGATTCATTTAGTCGTTTCAGATGTATTGAAGTCTCGAATTTGGTGTGACAAGATCTTTATTGGCATCGATACAAGACCAGACAGTGAACGACTAGAAATCATATCAGAAACAGAAGCTAACCTGAAGAGAAACACCGGGAAATCTTACAGTTTCAAAAATTTCTGAGAGTAACTGAGGTCAGAAAAGGGGCTTAGACTAACTAGCACTTGGCGCAGCAAGAAAAATAGCTGTACATGTGTATATTAAGTAAAAATCTCAAACCGCTGTTCTGAGTCTTTGCTTCCGAATGATCGCGCGAGTGATTTCTAGCTAGTTGACCTGGACGCGGCGGGCAACTAGCCAAAAATCGCCATGCGGCGCAAAGTGGTTAGAAACTTTTCCACATGCCCTTCCACGGACGATGGATTGAAGCTGGGCTGTGAAGATAAAGAATTTAAATGAACAGCTCTCAATATCCGGTGCAGGTCAATCGAAGAATTTCAAGAAAGGAAAATCCAATCTGAGGATATGTTTCAGGGGAAACTTACTAGTAATAACACAAAATTATTCACTGTAAAGGAAAATTATTTACATCACTGGTAGAGAAATGCCTATGCATATACCATCTATACATTTGTACATTTGTGCATACAAAGATTGAGCAGTAAAAGTGAAGCAGCTGATTATGGCCAAGTTAGTTTACAGCTGGAGTAGGTAAAGGCGGTAAACAAAGAGGTAAGTGAACTAAACAATCACTGAGAATTGTGGCTGGAATCCGTTTGACGTTTTGCAGAAGGCGATTGGAATAGGCTCGAACACCTTGTACTTCAAGACGTGCAAGCAACGGCAAGCCAAGAATCATCGTCAAACCAACTTCGGTCACCTGCAACACCTTTCAAGACCATGTGAAAGCATTTAACTGCACCCTGAAGGAGGGCTTTGTGAAGCGAAGCTCCGTTCTTTTCCCTTCCTTTCTTCTGTCTCTTTCTTCTTCCCCTTTCTTTTGCCCTACTGATTATTAATGTAAAATGTTGGAAAAAATTGGTAGCACGGGAAAAACCTCCGCTGCGAGTGCGACCGCAATTCACTTGCGCGATTTTTTCGCGCGAATCTGCTGCTCCTTTCTCTGCGTCCCAACCTTTTAGCTCGCTCTAGTGAGAGTAGGTAGCAACAGAAAAACAGTAGGGCGCTGCTTTCACAGAATTTGTCCCTAGTTGGGATGAATATGAATCTTCATGATTAATCGCA